CTCTGTCTGTCTCTCTCTGTCTCTCTGTCTGTCTGTCTGTCTCTGTCTCTCTCTTTGTCTCTGTCTGTCTGTCTCTCTCTCTCTCTGTCTCTCTCTTTGTCTCTCTCTCTCTCTGTCTCTGTCTGTCCCTCTCTGTCTCTGTCTCTCTCTTTGTCTCTCTCTTTGTCTCTCTCTGTCTCTGTCTCTCTGTCTGTCTCTCTGTCTCTGTCTCTCTCTTTGTCTCTCTGTCTCTGTCTGTCTGTCTGTCTCTGTCTGTCTCTCTGTCTGTCTGTCTCTCTCTCTCTCTGTCTCTCTCTTTGTCTCTCTCTCTCTGTCTGTCTGTCTATCTCTGTCTGTCTCTGTCTCTGTCTCTGTCTCTGTCTGTCTCTGTCTCTGTCTCTGTCTCTGTCTCTGTCTCTCTCTGGGGCTGCAGCCTGGTCCTCTGCTCCGGCCCTGCAACGGTGACAGAGAGAGAGACGCTGGCACAGCGACGCCCACAGAGAGAGAGATCGAATCTGCACACACAATCACACACACACAGTCACACACACATGCACACACACAATCACACTCACGGTCACACACACACACACACAGTCACACAGATGCACACTCACACACACACACACACAGTCACACACGGTCACGCACGCACATGCACACGCACACACACGGTCACGCACGCACATGCACATGCATATGCACACACACACGCGCGCACACAGCCCCGCGCACACCCCACACGCGGCCCCCACACACTCACCCGCACCGCTGTCCACGCCACACCCAGCCCGCGGCTCCCGCCTTTCTCAATGGAGAATTATGCCAACTTCTTCCTCTGACTTAGAAGGCTGACCCGAAGCGATCGTTTACTTCCGGCGCGGTGGCGTCTGGGAAATGTAGTCCACGTTCCCGGAACCCCGCGGAAGCCCGGTGCTTGGGAGAAATCCTAACACACGACCGCGATCCGGGGGCCGTGTGTGCCGCGTGGCTCGGGGAGGTGCCCGGAGGGGTGCGCACTTCCAGCTCCAGCGGAAGCCCCTTGGTGCGCTCCCAAGGCTCTTCCGGGTTCGATCTGCGATTTATTTTTCTCCCCTATGCATTGTGCAGACGAACCTAACGGTTTGGGGCTTTTTGTTTGTTTTTGCTTTTCGGGACAGGGTTTCTCTGTGTCGCCCTGACATGGAGCTCGCTCTGTAGAGCAGGCTGGCTTTGAACTCACAGAGACTCCCCGGCCTCAGCCTCCTGAGTGCTGGGATTAAAGGCCTGTGCAATGACATGGAGCTCGCTCTGTAGAGCAGGCTGGCTTTGAACTCACAGACATCCCCCGGCCTCTGCCTGGGGTTTAAGGCGCGCATCACCACCGCCAGGCTGAGCTTTAGTTCAGGGTGCAGAACCGGGGTGACATCAGATGGGGACATCGCTGCTTTGCTCACGCTTTGCCCGAGACCCCTGCAGCAGGTTCCTCCTCGCTGTGCGAGCATGGGAGCCACTGCGATGAACCCGAAAACACTGAACCACAGAATCGGTTGGTTTCGATCGTGGAAATGTATGGTTACAGGAGAGATTTCAGAGGGCAGATGTGCTGGACACTTCCAGGGTTCGCTGCTCCTGTCGTCTGGATAGGAGAGTGTGACTGAGGCCACGCGGATCTGTGTCGATTGTACAGTTCATTAGACATTCTTTTGCCCCGTGTTAACGGGTGAATGACTACCACGTGAATGTATCCCAAACAAAAAAGTATTTCGTTGGAAAAAAAAAAAAAAACACTTTTCTTGTAACATGACACAGTTGAACTTTCAAAACCACTTTTGTTGTTTCTTATATTCACGTAAAACTTTTCTTTTTCACCCCAGAGCTGGGTGGAAAACAAATGTCAAGAGAACAGACGATCCTAGTAAAAACCACTAATCGCATTAAATGTATTGTGAATAAAGGAAACACCTAAAATACAGATTGTCAGATTAGCTTTGGAAACATAAACACCCAACCATGTGTTAAATATGTTAAAGGTAAGTACTCTAACAGATTAAAGTGACCTCCCTCACAATACTCAAAAAATGACCTAAGTCAATTTTAAAATCGAGGCAGATGGGGGACAACAAACATTGCCAGTGAAAATAAAGGGTGCAGTTCATGTACTGAAAATAAGCTTGTTTGGGCCTTATATCCCCAGCAATGGGGAGGCAATGCCAGGTGGATGTCTGAGATGGAGGCCACCTAGGACTATAGAGGTTCAAACAGAGGCAAAAGACTGAGTTGCCTGTTTAAAATACCAAAGCGGATGCTGGCCTCTAGGTTCTCCCAGCATCCCTCAGTCCCTGCCTGTTACAGGGTGTGGTTGGCATACTCTGCCCCCTACCCTAAACTTCTCCAGCCCAGGGGCTGGGCTGCTCTTTCCTAACCATTTCGGTTGCTTGCTTTCATTGTACCTTTGGGCCTCCTGGCTGCTACACCTGGTTCCCCTCTCTTTCCTCTCCCTTCCCCTCCCCTCCTCCCCACATGGCTCAGGCTCATGACCATCTGGACTTCCCGGAAGTCCCTGTCTCTGACACTGGCTCTCCCACATATCTACAGAAAAAGCTTCGCCCCCCACCATACCTAGGACAAGTCATATTTCTGCCTTTTTCCCATTCAAACCCTACTTAAAAACTAAAATAAACTCAGAGTATTCTCATAATAGCACAGCTTCAAAATATGAAGGGGGAATACATACACACACCTGCTACAGTGCAGTGTGATGTTTTACTCGTTTTACCCTTGGCCTTTTTGAGGGGTCCATCGCCCAGCTCCCAAATAAATCACACAGGAAGCCTTATTCTTAGTTATGAATGCCCAGCCTTCGCTTGTCTTGTTTCTTGCCAGCTTTTCCTAACGTAAATTAACCCTTCTACCTTTTACCTGTGGGCTTTTATCTTTCTTCTGTATACCCTACTTTGCTTCTTACTCCTTGGCTGGCTGGGTGGCTGGCCCCTGATACCCTCCCTTCCTTGTTCTATCTTGCTCCTTTATCCTGATCTCTCCTGCTATACTGCCTGCCTGCTAGCCCCACCTATCTTTGCTCCTGCCTCGCTCTTGGCCATTCAGCTCTTTATTAGACCATCGGGTGTTTTAGACAGGCAAAGAATCATGGCTTCACAGAGTTAAAACAAATGCAGCAAAAACAAAAGCCACACACCTTAGAATAATATCCCCCAGCACTTATAGTAATAAGGAATGACAGCCTCATCCATGGTCACATTCAAATGTTTTCCGTTTCAATAACTGATAGGACAAAACCAGAGCAGCAACAGAACACAGTTTGGACAGCTAATCAACTGTGAACGCTGTGAGAATCAACATGGAGACAGTTAAACTGAGATGGAACCAGGGGGCCTTGAAGGGGCTCCCCCTCTTTGGTAGTGTGATGTTTTACTCTTTGCTCTCTAGTCTTTTTGACTCTTTGGGGAGCCCACCACCCAGCTCCCAAATAAATCACACACAGAGGCTTATTCTTAGTTTATGAAGGGCTGGCCTTAGATTGGCTTGTTTCTCTCCAGCTTTTCTTGACTTAAATTAACCCATCTATCTTTGGCCTTGGGGCTTTTATCTTTCCCTACTTGTGTATACTTTTTCTTTCCTTCCTCCTCCATCCGGCTGTGTAGCTGGATGGTTGGTCCTCCCTTTCTCATTCCCTGATCCTCAGATCCTTTTTTGCCCAGAATCCTTCTCATATTTATCCTCTTACTGCCAGTCCCACCTATTCCTCTCTCCTGCCTAGCCATTGGCCATTCAGCTCTTTACTAGATCATCAGGTGTTTTAGACAGGCACAGTAACACAGAGTTAAACAAATGCAACAGAAACAAAAGCCACACACCTCAACATAATATTCCCCAACACTTCTTTTTTTTTTTGGTTTTTTTTTCGAGACAGGGTTTCTCTGTGGCTTTGGAGGCTGTGCTGGAATCCGCTCTAGGCTGGCCTTGACCTCACAGAGATCCACCTGCCTCTGCCTCCCGAGCGCTGGAATTAAAAGCATGCACCACCAATGCCCGGCACCCCTAACACTCTTTATCTGTCTCTCTTCCTCCCTTTCTTTCAACAAAGTTTCTCTGTGTAACAACTCTAGCTGTCCAGAAACTCACTCTATAGACCAGGCTGGCCTCGAACACACAGAGATCCACCTGCCTCTGCCTCCCGAGTGCTGGGATTAAAGGTGTGCGCCACCTATGGCAGAAATGTCCATTACCTGGAGACAATTCTGTTGAACGAATACTTTTTATATGTCTACTGTAATTTGAAAGATTAAAGACCATGTCTATTTTAAGATTTTCTATGGTCTGATCACTGGAGTAGAGACTGTAGGTAGGGGGAACCCCTCGGAACCCAGCTGACTATTTCTGCAAAGCTTTCTGTTTTGTTCTTTGGCTGGATTTTGGGTCACTTATAAACATTCTTAGATTGCTGTCATGCCAATGTATACCAAGTCTTCCTTTCTCTCTGCGTGTCATTTTGGTTGATCTGGGCACTCTTTCCTATGTTTGCAGCTCTTTTCTTTTTTTTCTTTTCTTTTGTTTTGTTTTCGAGACAGGGTTTCTCTGTGTAGCTTTGGAGCCTATCCTGGCACTTGCTCTGGAGACCAGGCTGGCCTCGAACTCACAGAGATCCGCCTGCCTCTGCCTCCCGAGTGCTGGGATTAAAAGCGTGGGTCACCAACGCCCGCATTCGCACCTCTTTTCTGACTGCTACCCCATATCCCTCGTGGAAAAATAAGATAATTGCTGTGTGTTATATGGACGAGCTAAATATGTAAGTAGGTAGATTAGTGTGTGCCTCCTAAGGGCTGGCTACAGACGTGCCTGACCACGCCTGTCAGGGATAGGTTTTTAAGGGGGCTGCAAGCACATGGGAGCCTTCTCTGGCTTGCGTTTGGCTGGTGTTTTTCTAACAAAGGATATCTTTATCCCAAGCTCCTTTTATTTCTTAATAAGTGTGCACCATAAATATTCCATTAACTACAAGTTTCTGGAGTTCCTGCTGTGGTTCTGCCCACCAGATCGCCTGTCTCAGCTCTCTGTACCTTTGTCTCCTGCTCTGTGTGTGCATCAGCCGTTCTCCTCACACAAAGATGCATCTGTATCCCTTTTCAGATATTCTTCCCTCCTGCTCTGAAGGTGGTTGCAGCCATGCCTTGGGAAATCCCTCCATTCCCTTCCAGTTTGTGTTCTTATTTATTTATTTTGCTTTTGGTTCCCAGGCTAGCCCGGAACTCATTGCATGTAACCCAGGCTTGCCTTAACTTCTCGGCTATTCTGTTGCCTCAGCCTCTCGTATCCTAGAATTATAGACAAAAGCCACCATGCCTAACTTCGAACCTTAAAAGAAAGGAGTCGTTTGAATTGTAGGCATCCAGGACTTTTCTTCTAGACGTTAGACCCCTCGGGGCTCTGTTGTTGCTGCTGCTGGAACAAAGGCAGATTCAAGTGCATCATCTCAAGTCCCCCACATTTAAGTGTCCGTGTCCTGTGCCCTAACCCCTGTAGGGAGCACAGGACATCTTTCCTTCCAGTCACTTCTGGCAGCATCCTGGGAAGGCTCTGGAAACTCGGTTAACTTGGACAATTAGTATACCAAGAAGAAGTTGTCGTTAGATTTTTCTTGCAGACCTTGCCACCCAGGGCGGAAATAACACAGTGATCACAGGTCCAGAGAAAGGCAACGTTAGGGAAGCAATACCCATAACTAAGGGCTCATCTTTCTCTCCAGTAATGAAGTCTGGTAGAGCCCAGGCCTGGATGCCTGAAACAGAGGTAAAGTTCAGTTGTGTTCTGTGTTCAGACTAGTGTGGAGTGTGCTTGCAACCCCAGTGCTTGGGAGGTAGTGGTGGTGGTGGTAAGATCAGAAGCTCAAAGTTATCCTCGGTGTCTTGGGGTTTC